TCTCTCTCTCATTCTCTCTGTCTCAAATAAATAAATAAAAAAAAATCTTTAAAAAAAAAGTTATCATTGGAAACTATATATATGTATATATACCATATATACGTATATAATTTATCTACCATGGAAGGTACCTATTAAAATGCATAGATTCAACACATATCAGGGCTGGAAGGGACCTTAGAAGTTATCCAGAATAACAATCTACTCAGTTCATTCCATCTGTGTGTACTAGGATAAATCTCCTCCTTAATTCTGAGTGATTATTTAGACCTATGCTGCCCAATACAGTGGCCACAATATGGCTACTGAGCACTTGAAATGTGGCTAGTCACTTCTGAGAGGTGCTGGAAGGATAAAATAGACACCCAACTTTGAAAGCTCAATACACACACACACACGAATGTAGTATGTCTAATAATAATATATTGGATCTACTAGGTAAATAATTATTAAATTAATTGCACCTGCTTCTCTTTGCTTTTTGAGCATGACACCTAGAAAACTTAGAATTACGCATGTGGTTCGCATTCTAGTGGTGCTGGACATCGTTGATTAAGCCACATATGACTCCAACACCTCCAGTAGCTGAGAACTCATTATGTCCCAAAGCAAAATACTTCCCCTTTGAATGGCTCTCACCCTATTGAAAATACAACTTCTTCTAGTTTGATGTCAATCTCTCTATATATTCAGCTGGACTAACTTTCATCATAAACAGACCTAGAGACAGGGTCTGGCTTTTCAGCTGTACCTGTGCAATAGGCAAATGCCACAGTATTGTTTCAAAATCTCCCATTAATGCTTCACCCCCATAGTTCTTTAAGGGCTACTGGAATTGTCCCATCTAATACTTGATTCTAATCCACGGTCATTTGATTTCCGCAACTCTTACGCTGCCTAGCGCAGTGCCTGTAGGAATCAGAGCAAAAAACAAACACACTTCTCAGAATGAATGAGGACATGAGGTATGGGAGGGCGAGTGGTAAGTCCACTATTGTGTAGACAGAGGGATCATCTTATTTGAACATACATTTGTACATATAGGTGATGTCTGGGGCACTCGAAATTAATAACATAGTTTTCTTTTCTTGCAGAAAACGAAACCTCAGAACACACTCTAGAAAGTTACAAATCGAGGTCAAATAATGAAGAAACATCATCCCAAGAGAAAAAGGGCCAAAGTAAGTCAATTACATGACCTCAAATTTGAAAAATGAGGTTAATTTGTTGCCTTTAAGGAGGAGGGTAAAAATCAAAGTCTGATTTTTAGCACTAGAAAGTCAATCAACCTAAATCATCTTGTAGAACATAAGTAAATCTTCCAAAAATGAAAACTAGTGACCATTAAGTTCCTATGGCTGCAGATATGCCCCCGTGGGAAGCCATCCCTGAGTTCTTGCTGTCACATGCAGGCACATCCTGAGACCGTATGTCCCTCTTGTGCTCCGGGTATCTTACATACATCTTAACAATCCAGCACTTTCCACACCCCATACCATCTGCTCATTTCTGATGTGTTGCTTTAGCTACCACAGTCCTCCTTCAGGTGGTGAGTAGCTGGGTTTATCTATGTTGTGTCCTCAGATTCTAACACAGGGCCTGATGCCAATGGAGTGTCTGATGCATTTGTGTTGAATAAATGAACACAAGGCTTAACTGATTCAAGCAGACATGTTTTGGGTCTTTTGATGACTCCATTGTAGCTTCTCAAGCAAAATATGTAAAGAAAGTAGAAGGAAGAGTTTCTAAAAGGAGCTTGTGTGTGTGTGCGCGCACCTACGCTCATGTGTGTGTTCTTGACAAAAATCTAGTAGAGAACATCTGGTACTACAGGAAAGCAAGAATCTTCTACCTTTCTTTCAACCATTTTGGTTCCTCCATTGCAAATTAACTCATTCCATCTGCTGAGAGTTGCAAGCTAGGCAGAAAAGCTTAGCTGCTAGTTTCTATTGGTTTCATTGAGGTTTTTGTAGGAAGCTGGCCTTTCACAACACCTCTGCCTTTTTTTTTTTTTTTTTTTGCTTTGACCTAGTAAGGTGTGAAGTGGAAAGAATCACTGTACTAGCTGGGACAGGAGAACAAGAGGGCAAACCGTGAGAACTGGGGGTGGGACAGGGAAGTGTGTGCAAGGCGCAGAGAGTCTGTTGTATTGCCCATGTTTCTAGAATGTCAGTGTTCTTGTCCTCGACTGGCAAGTAGGAGAATTTTGTCAGTATGACGTGTTAGTTGGATTGTTTCCTATGCCAACTTTCTTAAGCAAGGGGAACCAAAACAGTGGGTGTAGAATGATAACTTTCAGCAAGAAAAGCCCTCAGCTCAGCTGTTGAACAAGCAGAAAGCCTTTGCGTCTCAACTTTAAGAAAGTTGAAAAGGACTACCTTTGCTCAAGGCTCCCTTCCCAGAAAGGTCCATCCCTAGGGGCTGGCCACGGATTGTGAGAGGGGGTACTTTCAACTGAGCTCCAACCTGCACTTCCAGCCTCCTTGCCCGGGCTCCCTCCAACCCAGCATTTCAACTTCACTGTTTTTGCTCACTTAAAAGTCATCCTCTGGAGCTATCTCCAGCCTCTGCATATAGAGTTACATGGGCTTTGAGTGATCTGCCCCAACCCTATGTTTTCCATAAGCCCTGTTACTTTCAGTAAGAAATTTGCTAAATACAATGTGGGTGGGTTTTTTTCAGGTTTTTTTAATAGCAGAAACGTCTATATATTTTATTTCAGGTTTATTTGTATATTTACATAAAAAAAGACTTTTTAAAAAAAATCAGCCCGTAACAATGCATTCAGACCATTTACGATATGCATCAATTTCAGATTTGATTTTTTAAGCCATTAACATATGAACCTAAAAATACCATGTGCAATCAAAGTGTCTCAAATAAATGGGTGCAGTATTGTTCAAAATAAATGGTCATCTTTGACATATTTTTCTTTCAGCTTTCCACTCTAAGAGCTACGTGAACTACATCACACAGTTGTACTCAGAAGCAAAAACAAAGAGGAAGGAAAATGCACAAAATTCAAAATTAAAAGAAGAGCCCACTCATATACCAGAGAGCATTGTGTAGTGCTCTGTGCAGTAGAAAATATGATTTGGGGGGCAGCCGCATCATCACAGTGGGGCAGCCTATGGGAAGAAGCATAATAACTGTCACATGAAAAATAGACTTTGAGTGCAATGCAAGATGGTGTGTCCTCCCATGGCAATCTGCTCTGGATTCAGAGTCATGAAATGAGGACTGGACCATGGACACAAAAGCTTCATAGTTTAAAAAAGAAAAGAAAAGAAAAGAACCTATTATGTCTCACACTACTTCAGAGCAGGAAGATTCTCCCAAGCCTTGGAGATCAGGGTTGATTTGGCCAGCAAACATCTTTGAAACATCCTGAAGGGAAAAGGAGGTCCAGTTGTCCCAGAGGATCCAGTTGAGAATCACGTTTAATTTTAGTCTCATTCAGTTTGGAACAGTTCCTTAATCTTTCCTGTACATTCATGACATTTGGGATAGTTTTGAAGATTGCAGCCTAGTGATTTTGTAAACTGTCCCACAGTTTGCCTTTGATTGTTTCTTCGTGATTAGATTCGGGTTACAAAACTCTGACGGGACTGTCACAGAAGTGATGTTTTGGTTATGTCACTGTGTTTTAGTTACCCCTTTCTTGATCACTTGATGAGGGTGCTGTCTGCCAGCTTTCCCCACTGCAAAGTTCCTCTTTCCTCCTTTGTGAGCTGATACTTTGTGCAGAGATGCTTTAAAAATATGTAGATATCCTGTTCCTTGTCAAACTTCCAAGTCACTCATTTATTTATTTATGGACTCACGGTTTCCTGTTATTCAATGAGTTACAATCTGTTACTATCCTGTCTCACTCACTGGGTTATAATCTGTTACCATCAAACTAATCTCTTGCTAATTGGGTGATCAATTGTGGAAACAGGCTTCTGTGTCCTTCTTATCCTCAGCCTTTGAGCACTTTCTTCCTTTTTGGTATGAAATATTCCAGGCTCATCTTCAACTCTTGCTACCCCAGCCCTGTAATGAGCCATTTCTCCAAGGATCCCTGATTCCTTTTAGTGGAAAATGATATTTAGAAGCCAAAACCCAGGGGCTATGTGTGCACACTGCCTTTGGGATATCATTGTCCTCAAGTCATCTCAGTAGACAGAGCTAGGGAATATATGAAAAAGTGGGCATATAGTTGACCCTTGAACAACATATGTTTGAACTGCCGAGGTGCCCCTCGAGTTGACCACAAAAGCCACAGGGCATTTATTTACCACTGCCTGCCCCAGTCTCCAAATTGAAGGCAACTGGTGTTATGGTCGCACCTGCTGCCCTGTGACTACCCCAGGAGACCTACAGAGGCCATCAGCAGCCCCCAGAAACCCTGGATCCCTCCCCTCCAAGTCCTCCATGGTCTGGGTTCCCTGCTGGTGCTAGGGTGGCTGCAGGCCTCGGGCCCCTCCCAGGCAGGGCACGAACCCCTCCCCGTGCAGCACCCTGGCTCCACCGCCATCAGGAGGCTGGCGGGCTCAGAAGTGGTCACAGCTGCCTATCCCCACGGGCAGTGGTGCATCTCCAGGCAGAGGGGGCAGCTGTCTTGCACTCCCAGGTTGCTATCACTGCCCACAGCCCACCAGGGAGCTGCTGCGACTGACCTGAGGCCACCAGGCTGCAAAACAGCACCATCCAGAGGCCAGGTTTGTCACTGTCACCACCTCTGTCCTGGCCCAACCACCCTGCAGGTGGATTGTTTTTTCAATAAATATATGTACAATACTGTAAATGTATTTTCTCTTCCTTATGATTATCTTAATAACATTGTCTTTTCTCTAGCTTACTTTATTCTAAGAATACAGTGTATAATACATAGAACATACATAATATGTGTTGACTGACTGTTTTGTATTTTCAGCAAGGCTTCCGGGCCATAGTAGGCTATTAGTAATTAAGTTTTGGGGGAGTCAAAAAGTCCTACAGTAAAAAGAAGAAGAAGAAGAAGGTAGCAGGAGGGGAAGAATGAAGGGGGGGAAATCGGAGGGGTAGACAAACCATGAGAGACGATGGACTCTGAAAAACAAACTGAGGGTTCTAGAGGGGAGGGGGTGGGAGGATGGGTTAGCCTGGTGATGGGTATT